ACACACACACACACACACACACACACACACACACACACACACACACATATATGCCTGTATATTAATAATATGTATTAGGAAGTGGAAAACACCTTAGTGGTCACTGAGTCCAAACTACTAATTTTTCAGATAAGGAAGCTGAGACAAAGACAAGTGAAGTGACCTATCCAAGGTCACACAACTAGTAAGTATCTGGGGTAGGATTTAAACCTCAGTTTCCATGCCTCCCTCCCAGTCCAGCATCCTATCAACTATATCATATTAAGTTGCATCAATGCCTTTGGTTTTTATATCACTGTTGTTCCTGAGAATAACCCCTTTCCCACCACCTCCAATTTGATCCTGCTGTATAACAAAGGAAAACAGTTAAGCAGAAACACCCTAAACAGTGGCCATTTCTGTTATGTGTGTGTATGCTGTTTTGTTACAGCAGTACCCCATCTTTCTCCAAAGAAGAGGGAAGTGTTTTTATTATGTTTTCTAGGGCCATTGTTTATTTTTAATTGCCTTTAGTTGGGCTTCCTTATAGTGATTTTTCATTTATATTGTTTTAATCAGATATAATATTCTTTAGGTTCTGCTCCTTTCACTTTGCATTGGTTCATACAAATCTTCCCAGCTCTTTCTGGGTTCCTTATATTAGTCATTTCTTACTGTATAACAATATTCCATTGCACTTATATGCCAGATTTTATTCAGCAAGTCCTCAATTGATAGGCTTCTACTTTGTTTCCAGTGTAAAAAATGATGCAATTAATATTTATAAATATATTATTACTTAATTTCTGTCTTTGACTTTTATAGGGTATAAATACACAGTAGTGAGATGCTTGGGTAAAGGAGTATAAGAAATTTAGCCAATTTTCTTGCATAATTTCAAATTGATATCCAAGATGTTTGGAGTAATTTGCAGCCCCATCTAAAGAACATTAGTGTTAGTCTTCTCGTAGCTCATCGAACATTGACTGTGCCTGATTTTGTTATCTTTGCCAATTTTTAGCACGTATGATGAAAGCACAGAATTGTGTAGATTCACATTCCTCGTATGATCAGTGTTTTGGAACATGTTTTCATGAGGTCATTTTTAGTTTGAAATTCTTTTGAAAACGTTTTTTCATTTTCTTTGACTTCTGTCTATGGGAAATGGTTCTTCAGTATATGTGTGTGTGTGTGTGTGTGTGTGTGTGTGTGTGTGCGCGTAATTTCCCTCTAAATATTGGATATCAAACTTTTATCAGTAATAGGATGAGGATAGAGATTGGATCTATGATTTCACTGATACAGGAAATTCTTGGTGAGGAATTTCTCCTATCACTGCTCATGGAGACTGAGCTCCTCTGCAGCTTAGAATCTTTGAGATTTGCCTAGAGTTCTGAGAGGTTGAGTGACTTTCACTGGTCACACAGTGAGAATGTATCAGAATTAGGACATGAACCTAGGTCTTTCT